GGCCCCAGAGTTGGGGTCAAATGCTCTCTTCCCACCCTGGCCTTCAGCAGGTCATGTAACTTTGGGTTAGTCACTCAACTTCTTTGGCTTTGTGTTTCAACATCTGTAAAATGAGAAGTGTCCACACCTTCAGCCCCCTCCTCTTCCTGGCACTGCCACCAAACAGATCTGGCTGGCAACCAGAGCAGAACCAGGTGGGATGGGCTGCCACGGTGTGGGCCTGAATGAAGGAGAGAAGAAATGACTGGGGCCCTCGCCTGATCCGACACCTACCACCTCCTCATCCTCTAAGAAAGACCTGAAAATACACTTGGCCTTGGAATCTCTCCACTCTATCCTGGTTGTTGAAGACAGTGGGGGGACTGCAGAAGAAGAAAAGAATTCCCCTCTGTCTCCCTGGACCCAGCAGCTGCCCTGGGCTTGTTCTGCCCCTCCTTCTTGACCTCACTTTTTGAGGATGGCCAGGTTCAGTCAGCTACTGTCCATACACTAATGAGCCAGAGTTGGCTTCTCACTGCCTAATTCCATAAAAACCTGAGCTGAGCTCCAGAGCAAGACGGGTACAGCCTTCCCTGCAATATAGTGCATGGTGCCTCCTGGGGCTGTTCAGGAGGCCCAACCTGGACCTCTCTCCTGGCTCTAAGAGGCCCCTTCCAGCTGCCTGTGGACACTACCTATAGACACCCCCATAACTCAAACTCAGCCTGAACACAGCAGCTCCTCCTTCCTTTTAATAGTGCCACTAGTTTCCCAGGACCTTGGCCTCCAAACTTCCATCCCTTCTGACTCTCCTTTTCCTTTAGTTCCACACCCAGTTCTTCCCAAGTCCTGTCAATCCTATCCCAAGCTTTTTGCTTCTTTTTATATTTCTGTCCACTGGTTCATTTTTTTTAAATTATGAAAGATGCATAGAACATAGTTGCTTGACTCTGTCCTAAGTGCTTTAAAGATCCTACCTTCCTTAGCTCTCACGACCTTGGCATAGAGATGAGGAAACTGAATTACAGAAAAATTCAAGCATCTTGCCTAGGGCCAGGATTTGGGCCCAAGCAGACTACTCCAGAGCCTGGACTTTGAGCTCTCACACAAGAACTGTGAGAGAGTCTGAAGGCTTGTCCTGCACTTTTAACCTCTTCCTCTTTCAGCTTCTCACACATGACACTCACTGATGAAACCTTCTTCCTTTCCTATCTAAGAAAATGTTGGGGGCTGGGGATGTGGCTCAAGTGGTAGTGCGCTCGCCTGGCATGCGTGCAGCCCAGGTTCGATCCTCAGCACCACATACAAACAAAGATGTTGTGTCCGCCGTGAACAAAAAAATAAATATTAAAAAATTCTCTCTCTCTCTCTCTCTCTCTCTCTTTAAAAAAAAAAAAATGCTGGATTGCGGTTGTAGCTCAGTGGTAGAGCATTTGCCTACCTGTGTGAGGTACAGGGTTTGATCCTTAGCATTACATAAAATAAATAAATTATAAAGATTTTATGTCCATCTACACCTAAAATATTTTTTTAAAAAAGAAAAATGTTTAACAACAAATATTATTACAATGCTTCATCTTTCTGAAGCATGTCTTTGAACATGTCATTACTCTGCTCAAAAAACCTTGAAACTCCTCAGACTTCCACATATCATGCAAACAGAATGAAGTCCATCCCTGGGCTGGGGATTCAAGAATRTGACCCCACGACCTCCCCAGCTCCCCTGGGGACCCCTTCACCATTCCCAGCTCCCCTCAGGCACTCATTCCTCTAGCACCATTCTGCCTGTGCCTGTGCCCCTCCAAGCCCCCCAGGCCTGCCCACCCTTCCCAGAGTGGAGTGGGAACAGAGCCCAAGGGGATCCGCATCTGCCTTGAAATGGTAAGCATGTGATTTCCCCCCTTTAAACCACCAAAGCTCCTACCAGAGTATGTCACACAGAGATAGGCACAACAAACACGATGAAGGAATGAACGTGTGAGTAACTGTGGAACTGAGTTGCCTGATGAGGGTGGAAAGTAATTATTTCATTAACTAACATTTGTGCAACCCTTAAGGTTAACACTAACAGTTCACGCCAAAAGCTTACTGTGTGCTGCCCACAGTGTTATTGAACAGTGTTATTTAATTCCATGAAGTCAGTTCCCCATTTTACAGATGGGGAATCTGAGGTTCAAAGAGGGGAACTCACTTGTCATACAGCTTCCAAGTGGGGGAGGTAGGATCTACTTCTGTGGGCCATGCTGTGACCACCATGCCTAACTGCGTCTAGATGCCAGAGGAGTGTCACACGATGTTCCAGCTCTTCAGTGTCTCTTGCACTGACAACATAAAAATGTCTGAGGAATAAGGATTTTGTTTAAAGAACTTATTCATCCTGATATTCATTAATTTACTACATTCATTGGCAGGGCACTGTGGTGCATGCTTGTAATCCCAGCAACTCAGGAGGCTGAGGCATGAGGATTGAAAGTTCCAGGCCAACCTCARCAACTTAGCGAGACCCTGAGCAACTGAGTGAGTCCCTGTCTCAAAATAAAAAGGACTGGAGATATAGTTCCATGGTAGAGCACTTATGGGTTCAATCTCCAAGTACTGAAAAACAAAACAAAATTTAAAAAGCCTCAACCACATCCAAGTTTTAACCCAAGTGTAAACAGTGTAGCTGTTTTAACCTGGAAGTGTAGAACAATGACAAATTCTAATCTCCAGTAGCTGATATTCTTATAGGAGATGCACAGAGTGTATGAGAGAAAAAGGAAACAAAAAATAAAAGTCAGGAATAACAATTGCTATGGGAAAAACACAGGAGGTTAGGAAAAAGCAACAATCCAATGTTCTAGGTGGGGTATGCAGGTGGCACTTCTACTGTGCACAAGAAGACCTCCACGTGAAAGCAATGTCTGAGCAGAGCAGTGGGCCCAGGCTTACACGTGCATGTGACAAATCGGTTATGGAATGGAGGGTGAAGAGAGAAAAGTGGTAGAATAAAGACTTCCCTAATTTCCCTCACACAGAGGGTCCTCTTTTTCTATGGTCTTTAGAGGGGAGGTCTAGCTGTGAGGAAGGATCCATGCATCATTCCTAGTTAAGAATTGCTTGTCCCAGGCAAGGAGCAGCCAAGAGGTCCATGCAACTGGAGCACAGTGAATGGAAAGACAAGGAATAGGTGGATTTGCAAACATGCAAACACTGAGGCCTACATAAATTCAGGTTCTGCGCAATGCCACATGTCTGGTATATATTAATAGCTACAATTTATTGAGTGTGTTCCACACACCTGGCACTGTACTCAGTCCTGCCAACACAAAAACTGCAGGATCCTTAGAGTCTAATGGGGAGACAGACAAAGATTTCCATAGTGCCATGTGGTAGGCGCTACATCAGGCTGCAAAACTGAAACTACAAAACTGGAGCATCTAGCCTGGACTCCAGAGCAAAGAAGTTTCCTGAGGAGGTGGCACTTGAGCCATCAAGTAAGAGAAGGAAACACCTCTGGAACACAGATGTGGAGAAGGAAGGCAGGTCAGACCTGGCCTGGCTAGGGAGCAACTCAAACAGCAGTGCTGGACCTAGGGATAGCTTGCTGGAGGAGGGGCTTGAGTGTGTGGGACTGTAAGTGCATCTGAAAGTGGGGGCCAAGGCTTACACATGCATGTGACAAATTGCTTATGGAATGGAGGATGAAGAGAGAAAAGTGGTAGAATAAAGTCTTCCCTAATTTCCCTCACACAGAGGATCCTCTTTCTCTATGGTCTTTAGAGGGGAAGTCTAGCTGGGAGATGACAGGAGATCAGAAAGTAAGTCGGCACCCCCACTATATCTTGGTTTCTCACCCCATCTAGAAGGTTCAGACCCTTCTTTTAGTCTTCTATGAGTCCTCACCCGAGGGCAGCCCAAGGCATGGGTAGGAGATTCTTCAGTAAATAAAAGGTTACCTACCAGCAGCACCTCCTGGTCTTCAATGTGTTGCCCTGACCTATGTGTCTTACAGTCAAATTAGGAGGACAGAGCTCTTTTCCACCCTCTTTTCATAGGTGATGCTGCAGCTCAGAGAGGTCAAGGGCTTACCAAGGTTAGACAACCAGTGGGTGACTAAATTGGAACTCCAGCCCAACTCTTGAGATTGCAAACCTCACAGTGACGCTGCAGCAACTGCAGCGAATGGGACCTGGTGATGACTGAGTCCCAAGGACAAGGCTGGAGAAGGGGGTGGATTGGGCTCTGGAGCGGGTATAGGATGGAGACTGGGTGATGGGGGCTGAGCAGAGGCAGGAAGACAGGAGAGGCTTTGAGATAGAACTAGCGGTGTCTCCAGAAAGACCTGGTTAAATGTCCTAACAGCATTGAAAAGACAGACGTTGCATCCTCCCAACCACTTCTCTGGGAGACAAGGGAGGCAGGGGCCTATCCTATTTCTCCCACCTTACAGGTGAGAAAACCAAAGTAAGGAGAGGTGGCTACATGGTTTGCCCAAGGGCCATAGGAATTTGGGGCCCAGAGGCCCTGTTAGAAGCAGGCAGAGTGCACAAGACATCCAGGATTTCCCCCCTCTACCCTGGATGATGAAATAGATGACGGAGATAGAAATCAGGGCCGTGATCACACAGGGAGAGGGAACAAGGCAGGAGCCTGGCTGGAGCCTAATTGCGGCATTGATGGTGGAGAGATGAGGCCCTGACACAGCTCTGGCTAAGGGCAGGCGGCAGGCGGCATCAGCTGGTCGGGTGTCACGGAGTCCCCGCGCCTCCTCCCTCCCCCKCGGACCCATCCACTTGGGCTTCTCCGCAGCACCGAGCTCCCTAATCCCGGGGGAAGGGGGAAGGTACTGAGGAGGGGAGGAGGAGGAGAGCGGAGGAGGGGGGCGGCAAGCACCTCCTCCCTGAGCTCGCGAATCCGCAGCGTCCTCCGCAGCATCCTCCCAGGCCCGCCCCCCTGCCCCCAGTCACCCCCCCTCGCGCGGATGGTACGCTCCGGTCCTCTTGGCCCGGCTGCAGTGGATGTTGCTAGAACCCACGCGGAGGAAGGAAGAGACGCAGGCAGGCTGCGGTGACCCAAGCGGCAGCCCCTGCCTCAGGGACCCCTTCCCCGAGAGACGGCACCATGACCCAGGGAAAGGTACCGGCATCTCCCCCCSACCTGCACCATCCTCTATCCACTGGGCTCCCTGTCTCCCTGTCATTCTGAGTAAGCTCCCTTGGACCACTTTAAGCAGCTTTCCCTTGGCTCCAGGGCAAAGGTCCTCTGTGATCCTTGCTGAAGTCAGAGAACCAAAAGGCCCATCTCTAGAAATGGGTTGGCACCTCTCTGGACCCCTGGGCTCTCCTCCCTTCCCATCTCTTCCACCCCATACTTTGGTATCACAAGACTTTACAAGGCCATGGCCTCCATAACCAGCCAGCCTGGGTGTGCAGCATAACTGTATCTATGTGCGTGTGTATTTGTATGCTAGGATGAACCTTGAGGGATAATATAATGCTTGTGGGCATCCCTCCACTTGCAGACCCAACCACTTTATAGTCATCTTTCACATCCTCAAAGAATCCTTCTCCCCACCATCACCCCTAACTCCCTGTCATTACTCCACATCTGGTTATCTGGATATCTGGATATTTGGATAAGTACATTATGGTTGGGGGTTACTATGGAAACCCTGCATCAGGATGCTCTGGTTTTTGTTTTTGTTTTGGCCAGGCATGAGACTGATAAAAATATAATCTTATTTTCTAGTTTTAGGCCTGAATTGTGGGGGAGGGCTGGGCAGAGACTTGGCTGGCCCAGTAGGGTTATGTAACATCAACAGCCTGTGGAATTATACAACCATTAGGGCCTAGGGCAAAGGGGGAGGGTCCTCCAGTCTGCTGTTTGGAGGGCTAAGGATTGGGCAGAGAAAACAGAAGGCCCTCCCCCACTCCCCTCCCCCTTCTTAGCTTTGAGATGAGCTTCTGAGCCAATTGCATCCCTCCCTGGGCCCTCAGATCCTCCTCTCCCTGTTTTTAGGTTCTTTGGGCCTCAAAATGATATCACTAGGTGGTACCACCTCCTGCCATTGGCCGGACATCACTTGGGAATGCCATATGTGTGTGTGTGTATTCTGGGGAGTGAGTGTCAAAGTGGAGCGGAGATAGGTTTTCCCAAGCTCAACCCCTGAGGTCTGCATGATGAAGGGATCTGGGAGGGGGAGAAATGCAGTCTCACAGGCCTGGGTTCCTGGATCCTTCCCCAGGGGTCTGGGGACGTTGAGCCTTCACTTCTTTTCCCCAACTCGCCCCCCCACCAGTCTCTCTGCAGGTACTATTTTCTRTCTTAGAGTGAACTTGCTACCTCCTGCCTCCTCAATCCCTTGCCTCAGTTCACCCACTGGGATAGACAAGACTCCTCCAGTCCAGTAGTCCTTTGAGCTAGCTAGGAACCAGGAGTSTTCTGGTGTTCCCCCCTCTCTGGGCCAGACAACCTGCTCAGGAGCCCTGCGGTCTTCCCTAGGACTTATCAACTTCAGCTTAGGTCAACTTGGAATCAGACCTAAATACCACCTTCTGAGTCTGGTCTCTTTGTGGCTCTTGTTTTCACATCACCTCCTCCACACCAATCTTTCCTTCTCTGGCCACATCACTGAGACCCTCACAGCTCATAGCCTCCCAACAAAGCTAAATGTAGGCATGATGGGGCTGGGACATATCTGAGAATAAACAGATTTGAGTTCTCAACTTGCCATGGGCACATTTTCCAGGGGCCTCCTTCCCTCATTCATTAAGTGAAGGAAGGGGCTAAACTAGATGTCTTTTGAGGTCCCCTCCAGCAGTGGCATTCTGAAATTCTGTCTGTTTGGAGGAGAAGCCGAGGTTCCCATAGGATGAGGCCAGAACAGGGCCCCGACCAGGGGCTCGTGTCCTCCCTGCACCYGGCCCTCTCCATCCTCTTTTCTCTTTCCTCCCTTTCCTTTTCCCTTCTTGTGCCCTTCTCTCCCCTGTCCCTATTCTCCTCGTGTCATTTCTAGCCCAGCAGAAAGAGACCAGTCCCAGTTTGTGGGACTTAGGCCCTGTGCCCCAGCAGGCCATGTGTGGCCCTGTGCCCGTGGATGAATCACTCCTCTGTGATCTTCAGTTCCTTGATTTTAAAACGGGGATCAAAATACAACCAGCAAGGCAGCAGGGAGATGAAATGAGAGAATCTTTCATCCAGTAATGTTTTTGAGTGCCTACTATGGGCCAGGCCCTTCTGTGGACCCCAGGGAAACAGTGGGACCACAGAGACCCAGGCCCTGCTCCYCAGGGACAGTGACCACCAATGCTGGACACTGCTAAGAATTTTCCCCTTTCCGAGTTCTTAGCGGGACTCCATGGTCCACCCATGGCTAGCCCCCATTCTCTTGGAGCTCAGTTCTGCCATCGATAAAATGGGGAGATTTTTGTCTACACACTGTCCTTCCTAGTACAGGTGAAAGCACCCGGGGAAGTTCCAGGAATTGGGATGATAAGGAGGGGTTGGAAGGCTCTCTTTCCCTGGTGACTGTCTTTCTGTCTCCACTTCACAGCTCTCTGTGGCTAACAAGGCCCCTGGGACCGAGGGGCAGCAGCAGGCGAATGGYGAGAAAAAGGAGACTCCAGCAGTACCCTCGGCCCCACCCTCCTATGAGGAGGCCACCTCTGGGGAGGGGCTGAAGGCAGGAGCCTTCCCCCCAGCCCCCACGGCTGTGCCTCTCCATCCCAGCTGGGCCTTTGTGGACCCCAGTAAGTCACTCAGCTCCTGGAAGATGGAGCATGTGGGGAGCAGTGGGCCCACAAGGAAAACCTGGGTGGGAAGAAGTTGCCCAAATGCCAGATGCATTGTGTGGTTGTTGTATGCAGTTGCACTATCAAAGACTTTGAAGGGCTATGGCTGTGGCTCAGTGGCTGTGGCTGGGTGGCAGAGCGCTTGCCTAGCATGTGTGAGGCACTGGGTTCAATCCTTAGCACCACATAAATAAACAAATACAATAAAGGAATTGTCCATCTACAGCTACAAAATTAAAAAAAAAAAAAAGACTTAGAATTTGGAGGACTATTCTAAGGGTAGGTTGGAGAGGACTCCCATGAAAAGGGAGAGGTGATGTCTGTAGTCAGGGTGCTCTCTGACAGGGAAAAGGGGATTTTTTTTTCAAGTCATCAGGCTAGAACAAGTAGAACAGACTGATGGAGGACAAAAGCCAGGATGTGGTCTAGAAAAGCCTTCCTAGAAGAAAGAGATGAAGCAAGGGATTGGTCATGACCTTAGCTGGATCTGGTTCCCTGTGAGTGGGGGTACAACATTCACACATCGATGGATCTGAAACCCTAGCAGGGAAGGTCCCCATGGAGACCCCATGGTTTGGGGGAGTTAGGGGCCTGGGGATCCACCTCATCAAGTACTTTCATTGTCTCCCTTCCCTTCCCCTAGCCAGACCAGACTGGGCACGACTCACAGCCACACCTAAGGCCAGTGCCAGCTTCTTCTGGCCAAGGTTCCCTGCAGGAGCTTCATCTCGGGGCTGGGAATAGGCAGCTTCCCACAGGCTGTAAGGAAGAGCCCCTCAAATACTCCTCAACCCCTTCTGCGTCCTCCCGCAGCCTCCCCTCCCCCATTTTGCCATCCCCACCTCCACCACCTGCAGAATTCTAGAAGGGACCCCAGGGACAATGCTCCAGACAGAGCCCCTGTTTACAGGAAGTGGCCACCATAGTCTACGGCTCCCAATACCAACCTCCTGGACCTGGAACCCAGATGTCTCGTGGTTCACACTACTGGAAGGCCAAAGGTCTGGTGTTTGTGGGCGCCCTTTCCTCTGCCCCTGACACCCACAGATTTGCTTTCCCTCTCCTTTTCTCCRTGGCCATTTGGGTTGGCAAAGAAAATAGGCAGAATGTGAAGGAGGAGTGAAAGATAAGAGGGAGGCCCCAGGTTAGGTTTAGGTTTACAGTGGACCTGCCCCTCTGCCTCTTCTTCATTTCTCATGTTTTGGTTGCTAGAGTGAGCTGCTTTACTATATATATATATATATATATATATATATTTTTTTTTTTTTTCCAGTTGTAGATGGACACAATATCTTTCTTTCTTTCGGGTGCTGGGATTGAACTCAGGGGTGCTCAACCACTGAGCCACATCCCCAGCCCTGTTTTATATTTTATTTAGAAACAGGATCTCACTGAGTTGCTTAGTGCCTCACTTTTTTCTGAGGCTGGCTTTGAACTTGTGTCCTCCTGCCTCAGCCTCCCTAGCCACTGGGATTACAGGCGTGCGCCACCATACCCAGCTTTTTAAAATTTATTTTCATGTGGTGTGAGGATTGAACCCAGTGCCTCACATGTGCTAGGCAAGCACTCTACCACTGAGCTACAACCCCAGCCCCTGGGCTGCTTTACTTTAAGAAATGTGTTCCAAGGAACAATCCGGTCAGGAAGAGCACTCCTTTCAATTAGCGTGTGATACACATTTCCTAGGTRTATGCCAGGCAATGTCTGGCTCTGAGCTCATTTCAAAGGATGCAAGAGACTGTGCAAGGAAATGATGACTACCACCCAGGAGCACAGATTGAGTGAGAGAGGCCTGGGCAGCTCATCTAACCCGTCTGCTGGGCACGGAAGCCTTCCTAGCGGAAGGGGTATCCACACTGAGTCCTGAAAGATGCCATGAGTTAGCCGAGGGAAGGGTAGAAAAATGAGTGTTTGAGGCAGAAAGAATAGAATGTGCACAGGCAGGCCAGCATGTGACTGAAAAAATGTACTCAGGCCAAGAAAAGTGGGAGGGAGGGATGTGTAGGGGAGCTTGGAGGACCCTGCTCCTGAAGGGGATTGGAGTCTTTGTTAAGGAACTTGAACTTGAGTRATGGGCTGTGGGGAGCCATTGAAGAGCTTAAAGCAAGGCCATATCAGTTTTAAAGGACCAAGAAAGAGGTTATTGTTGCAGGGGGCAGTGAGGGAGAGATTAGGGAGACCTGRTGGGGCCAATGGAGGAAAACAGAGTGGACACATATGAAGACTTGGGAATGGCCCTGAGGAAGGACAGGGTATTGTAGTCCCCACACAAAGCACAGAGGACATAGGGTTTAATTTTTATCTTATTTGATCCACATAAAATGAGTACACCAACCCATAGCAGAAGATACTCAGAGAAAGCTGGTGACTTGCTCAAGGTCACACAGCCAGTCAGTCCTAGAAAATGAATCTGCCTATAGGTCTGTTTGACCACAGAGTACATGCTCTTCCCAAAATCTGAGTTCTGGGACCAAGCCCTGAACCTTTATCCTCACTTGACCTCCCACTTCTTGCCCTTGTCCTGGCTTTATTTCCCCTCCAGGATCCCACCCGGTCCTGATTTCTGGAACACCAGAAAGTCTGACCCATCAAACCACCAGTCCCCAGAGCCCATTCCAAGGGCCTCAGAGGAATCCAGGGTCAGAATCTTTGACCCTGGGATGTGCTGAGTGGCTTGAAGAATGGCTATCCTTTTCTGATCCTTGACCACAAGGAAGCCAGGGTACCCAGGGAGGAGGATGGGGACACAAGACAGAAGGGACACTTGTGTGTGGCAGAGCTCAGCCCCCAGAGCCCCAACCAGGCTAAGCAGAGGGAAAGGGAGGAGAGATGACAATTCATTTCCAGGACCCAGAACAGGAAAGTTAAGAAGTGACCAGGGAGAGAGATCTAGGTATGGGCTGGAGTGGGGTGTTTGATAATGGAGCAGGAGAAAAAGACTTTGCTGAGTCCAGAGAGCCATCTTGACGGAGCAGATGGCCATTARGGACAGTGTTTTTGTGTATAGGAACCCTCATGACCCTCCACTTGCCYACACAGGCAACAGCTCCGGCTATGAAGGTGGTTATCCCTCGGGGCACCATGAGCTCTTCACCATCTACAGTTGGGATGACCAGAAAGTTAGGCGGGTCTTCATCAGAAAGGTAAGCGCCTTTCTCTGGCTCTCCAGAACTGGAGGCTTGCCTCTCAAAGTCCCTTGGCCTAACCTCTGCCTGCAGAAGCCACCTTCCCCCCTTTCTTGTGATTCCAGCTGACRGACATCCCTATTAGGAAGAGCTTTTTAGTTTCACCCAGGCCCCTGCTGCTCCCACCTCTGGGTTCCATGGTTGTTTTCCACTTGTCCTGGGTCTTTCCCAGTGATTCCTAAGAAGGAGGATGGCGTGCCCAGGAAGTGGGTCTGGAGATTCAAATGAGTCCCTGAGAGTCTGGGATCTCCCTGAGCCTTGCTGGAAGCCTGAGCCTGCCTGGCCCCCAAACAGGGATCCTCAAACTGAGAAGAACCCCATTTATTCCCCAGGTCTACACCATCCTTCTGATTCAGTTGCTGGTGACCTTGGGAGTCGTGGCTCTCTTTACCTTTTGGTGAGTTGACAATGTGAACTGGCACCGTCCACGGTGGTCATGGCCAATCCTGGGGCAGGGGAATTCCCAATCAGACCTCATTTGGAATGTTCACCAAGAGAGATTTGGGGGGACACCTGAGGAGTCCTCTATCCAGAGAGACTTGCTGCGCTCTAGGCCTGCAGGTGTCTAAGGGGCAGTCTTTCTTACAGATCCACCAGCTAGAAACCCAGGAACCCCTGGTCCCAGCTTGGGCCTGGGCTGTAACTCCCTGAGTCTCCGGGGGCTGCATCCCTCCTTCTTCCTCCTTTTGGAGTCTTGTGAACTGTATGTGACGGGTGCAAATGTTGAACCAGAAATAGAGACCTATGGTAAATTTTGATCTTCTCTTCTTTGCAGTGACCCTGTTAAGGATTATGTCCAGGCCAATCCAGGATGGTACTGGGCTTCCTAGTGAGTATACCCCACCCCAGAAGCCCCCTCCCAGAGAAGATCCAATGGCAATAGGAGGGAATCTCTGTGTCTCTGTTGACAGATCCAAGCACATGACTTCCCCATACCCCATGGAGACTGTCCTCCCAGATCCCTCTGCCTTACCCCATTCTGCTGGCTACAGCACATGACCAGAAGGACTTTTCTGGAGTATTGAGGCCTGAACAGGGCAGACAGAAGATGCGGGTAGATTCTGGTACCTACATAACTTGGAAAGGGTGGGGCTCGGGTCATGGCTGGAGAGACCCCCGTGCCTTGGCCCTAACAGAGGAGGGGGAACACCTTGACCCACACTAATGATAATGTTGCTATTCTTATTAGCATTGCTATTATTAATGCTTACGAAATTATTAATCATAATAGCTACCACTTAAAGAGTGCCTAATAAGGGCTGGGCATTCTTCTGTGTGCTTTATGTACAGTATTGCATTTGATCCTTGAATCTACTGGGCATGATTACCTCAGAAAACGAAGGCTCAGAGGGCTTGAGTAATTTGCCCAAGGTCACACAGCTAGTCAGTGATGATTGGAATACAAACCCAAGATTCAGGTTAAAACTTGTGACTTTTATCCTTCTGTTTGGCAGTCTCTCTTTAACCCTCAAGTCACCTGGCTCATGCTAGTCCTATAATCTTTTAAAGAACATAGCTGGTAGCTTGGGAGAAGAGGTGTGAAGTTTTAGGTGATTCTGACCCTCCTTTCTGAGTAATTAAGGAGTAATTTTGGATAATTCCAGGCCAGAACCACTCTGGAACTCAGGGAAGAGCTGCTCTTTCCATAGGCTTTCTGAGTGCCCAGCCCTGTACCGAGGCTACCAGGGACGAGGCTTCTGCAGTGAAAGACAATGGTTTGATGAAGGAGAGACTGGACTGGCAAAGGGCTGAAAGGATTTCTCAGCCCTAGGGGTCAAAGCTGTGATCACCCGACTAAGGAAGTTGCACACTGTGGCTGTCCCAGGGCGGTTCCTGGATAGGGATCTGGTGGGGAGGTTAACCCAAAGCCCCCTGGACCACCTTGAGCCCAGAGCAGTCTCAGAGTTGGACCTAGAGTTGGCACAAACCGGCCAAAGACTGGCAGTAAAGAGACGCTTCCTGGCCTYGGGCTTCTTGAAGAAGCTGGGCAACCTCTTTAAAGTTGTGGGTCCAGGGGAAGAGATTTTCATACTTAAAGCCTGTCCTAGGTCACAGGAGAAGAGGCCCTGTCTGCAGAGCAAGCAGCGAGGCATGTGTCTTTGGAGAGGAGAGGCATTATTTGGTAAAGCTAATGAGGCCCCAGGGACTGCCACCCCAGCCAGCCCACACAGCAGGTTGGCATGGATCCCAACACATAGTCACCACTGCCTAGTAGCCTCAGCCCCCCTGAGAACTCGGGAATGGAGTCCTTAGGTCCCTGGGCCTTCTGTGAGAGGGTCTCCAGGACCCCATGCCCTGAGCACCTGGCAAGAGGACAGCCTCAGGAAGTAGGGCAGAGTCCACGCCATGGTGTGTGTGTGGGTGTGTGTGTGTGTGTGTGTGTGTGTGTGGAGAATGGGGATCAGGGGAAGAGAGGTCAGGAGAATCTGGCCTCTGAGTGATGAGATTTGGAGTCCCTCCTCCTCACCATCTTCAGGCCTGGAGGGGGGTGGTACGGATAGAAAGAAATCAGAAGTGGGCGTGGGCTATGTGCTTTTTCATGGGGTGTCACAAAGCATGAAAGGTACCTAGGAGTTTCAACTGTCCTTTCCTCCAGAAAGCCCACCTGGGGTTCTGCCCTGCCCCTTCCTCACCCTCAACCCTTCCAATCCTGTGCCTGAGTCTGTTTCCTGATTCCAGAGGGTCTCACTTCCTCCAACACACCAAATGCTTTGAGGGCTCCATCACTGTCTCTTCCTTGTAGAGGAGAGTAATATCAGTGAGAACAAAACAGCTCTTTTTCTGTGCATGAGTACATATAATTTTCATTCATCCTTCCAGTAAGACTATCAGGTGGGTACTATTATTATCCCCATCCTACAGATGAGAAAATTGGAGTGGAGAGATCATTGCTTCCCAAGCAGCACAGCCAGGATAGAATCCCACACTTCCCCTTTCTGCTGTGCTGCCTACAACACTGGATTCTAGAGCAGGACAAGTCAGGAGGGGCACTAGGTTTGGCTGGCCTTTATCTGAGCCTCACTCCCTTGTCGTTGAAACTCTGTAAACAGACTATCCCAGGCCCTGGGGCTCAGGCTCTGAAGTACAAATCAGCTGTTCTCTCTGCCTTCTCTAACTCATTCTCTGCCCCCTGGGACTCCAGCCTTGGCTTTCTCAAGGTCCCAGGTTCCCCTCCGTGGGTTCTCGCCTTATTGTCTGATTGCTCCCACTGAGCCATGGTGTCTGCAGCACAGCTGAGAAGGAAGACTTGAGGCTAGAGCTGGGGTGGAGGTGGGCCGTCCTGTCTGTCTGTCTATCCGTCAGCCAGCTTCTAATTGCAATAATAGCAGCTCCAGTGGAGGAGGAGTTCGAACTCTGCGCCAAACCCTGTACGAGTGCTTCACCTGCATTCTCTCTTCGGGCTTCCCAGCAGCCTCCTGTTTTACGAAGGAGGGAACTGGGACTTAGCCATCAAGTAGCTCATCCAAGATACAGTGGTAGTGGCACATGAATGCCGAGTTGGACTCCAGAGCCGCACCATAGTCCTGGTCTCGGATCCCTCTGCCCTTCCTTCTGACGTCTTGTCATGAGGGTTGAGGAGTAGGGATCAGAGAGAAAAGGAGACTGGACCCTTGCCCTCAGGGAGCTTCTAGTCTGGCCAGGAGCAGGACTTACCAAGGACACACGTAGACAAGGGTACTATTATCATTGTTSAGGTGACTGGCTAATGACTCAAGTGAGAGCAAAAGAGAGCAGAGGCCGGAATGTTTCTCAACTGGGGCAGGATGGGTGCTGCTGTCCCACATGGGCAGGGTGTTCAGCAGGTCTGGCACCTGGCACCAACTACCAGCAGAACCCCCCCCACCCCGCAATTGCTGTGACCTTAGCTGCACATTATTCAACATCCACTAAAGAAAAGAAAAGGGTCAGGATGGAGGGATCTTGTTCACCAAATTCAATATGGCATATCTTGACCCCTGCATTGCCTGTTTTTTATTTTTGCATTGCATTCAGAAATACTTAAAGAGCTCCTATCAGGTGCAAGGCCCTGGGTTAGACGGTGGGAGTGCAAAATGGCCCCTGGATGGGAGTTGCAGGCTGGCCCCTGGATGCTCCATCTGCTTGGGGAGTCTGATGAGCTGGCCCATGAGGTGTGGGGGTACAGGCTTCAGCTGAGGTACACCCATGAGGGACAGAGGAAACCCCTCTGGAGGAGGAAGCCTCAGGTGTCCTTGCCAGTACTTTACAGCAGGAACAGTGTGGTGAGCACGTTTCCAGCGTGCAGAGCAGGTTGTGAGGAAGAGGGTGGAGTAGAGGGCCGAGTGAGGTGAGAGCAGGGCTGGAGAGGTGGGCGGGGAGGACCATATCCTTATTGCCAGGCCTTCTGGAATTTTATAGAGAGAAGTCACATGATCGGGTCTGTCAGTAGCTTGGAAGGTGGAAGCCAAGGCGGGAGGCAGGAGGACCAGACGGACTACCATATAGATCAGGCCAGAGAGCGAAGAGAAAGAGGTGGCCCAACCTCAAAGGGTGGTGGTGGGGATGGAGGGAAGAGCGCAGATTTGAGAGCTGCCAGAGTAGGAGGATAAACAGATCCAGGTGATTAATTGGGAGTGGCAGAGTGAGAGTCAAGGATGATGCCGGAGGCCTCTGGGTGGATGGCTTGGYGGGTACATGGCGTCCTCTGTAGCAGGGATACAGGAGAAGGAACAGAGAAGATGGAAAGATCAGCTCTACCCTGTTGAGTCTGACACATTTCTGAAAAACTACGTCTGCCTAATTGGTAGCTGGATGTTTCAGACTGGAGTTGAGAAAGAAAATGTAGTTCTGAAATATGGGGGTGCAAGTCCTATAGGTTAGGAAGCCCACCTAGGGAGAGTATGAAGGGAGCAGAGTCTGTGTTGAAGGAATCAAGCCCATTCAGAGACTCCCTGAAGGAGACTGAGAAGGAGTGGCCAGTGAGGGAGGAGGGAACCCAAAAGTGTGTCATTGTAGAACCAGAGAAACAATAGGAGTGATCAGACATAAGAGGTTAGGTAAGGACAGACAAGTGTCTTGGACTCAACAAGGTCACCCTGATGTAGCACAGCCATCTCTCATTAAGTAGGGTTGAGATGGGGCTTGCTGAGTTGGGGACACGAGAAGAGAATGAGTGGAAACCCCTTTTTTTTAGAAGCTGGGCTATGAGGCAGTTGGAATGGCTGTAACTAGAGATGGGAAGACAGGAGATAAAGATGGAGAATACCTGAGAAGGTTTGTGTGGAAGGAGAGGTGCCAGCAGGAAGATTAAAGTGAGGGAGACTGGGCCTTTGAGGGGGTGGACCCCAGAGGCCAAGCCAGGGGAGACTGGCCTGGGATGGGAGGAGACACAGGAGGACCCATATCGTGAGGTTGGCAGGTGGCAGGCAGGAAGCCAAGGGAGCCCCACCTTATTATCTTAGATCTTTCTGGAACACAACAGGTAGACTATGCTGGAGAGTGAGGCGGTCTGGGAGGTTTGGGAAGGAGGAGGAAGTCTGGAATGGCTGCTGTGGAGGGTGGGTGGGAGAACTGAGGAAAGGATGGAGAAGGGACGGCAATGCCGAGCTGAAGCCTCGTGGGAGGTGGAGACCGTGCACTGGTGGTGGCACTAACCCCATTCTTGGGTCCTCATCTCCCCGCTCCTGGACTGGCCTTTGCCTTCACTGTTCCCCGCCAAAATGCTGAGCTCACAGCCTGGTAGGGCAGAGCAACAATAAAGTAACTGACAAGATCGTTACAGGCCATGATAGGCTGAAAGAAGCCGTGTGGGATGGTGGATGTAAGTGATCTCCCTGGAGCCAGAGTCTGGGCTCCAATCCTGCTTCTGCAAGAGGGTATGTGTGACAGTCAAGTCACCTGACCTCAGCTTTAAAGTGAGGAACACATCTCAAAAGAAAAGATGCAAGGATCACATCAGTTAATATTTGTAAAGCTGTTTAAAAACTCTGCCTACCACATCAAAAATACTGCACATGAGCTTTTAAAGTAACAAGGTGATATCTGGGTGGTTCTTTTAGGTTGGCGGGTCAGGAGCAGCTGTCCCATGGCACCCAAGATTCAAAATTATTAGAAACAGGTTTATCCTATCCTCCTTCCTCTCCTCTGGAATTAGACCTAGAACCTGCCCATTGCCAGGTTTCTAGGACGACTGTGGCCTTCTCTCTGCTCCCTGCCCCYACCCCAACATCCTGCCTCACGTTTTGTGGGCAGGGGTAGCCAAGTGAATGAGCTAGGAGACTAGGAAGAGCTTCAAGAGCGACTGGCTGACTTAGCCATCTGTCTGTCTCTTACAGTGCTGTGTTCTTTGCTACCTACCTGACCCTGGCTTGCTGTTCTGGACCCAGGTATGTTAATGGCTTGAGGATCAACTTGTTGAAATATGAGCAGAACTTTGATAGTCTGGACCCAGCCCTGCCCACTGTCAGTGTACTGTGCACCCTCTCTGGGCCTCTGTCAAGTAGCCTGCCCCTCTCTCCTTCACTTGGCACCTCTAATGTGTGGGGAAAGTTGATAGACAAGTGGCATATGAAGGGGTAGCTGAAGGAAGAGGTTTCAAGGAGTGGGGGGAGGGTAGCAGAGACCCCGTCCCCAACCTATGGCTTGCTTTACAGGAGGCACTTTCCCTGGAACCTGATTCTGCTGACCATCTTTGTAAGTTCTTGGGATGAACTGGGGTCAGATGCTGAGTGGGGATGAAGGAAAGGAAGCATGGGCTTTGAGGGCCAGGGAGTCTGGGTTGGGGACATCCAGTGTGAGGACCCTGGGGACATGAATGTTTTCACTCCATCTCTTCCACCAGAACATTCTACCTTCTCTTTCCAAGTGGGCCTAGCTTTCCCCTCTATGTCCACTGTCGCCTTATTGTGCTTTTGTCCTTAAGAGGTTCCTAAGGGGTGTCCTAGAGCTATGGATAATGAAGGAAGAGAGGGCTCTTACTGGGGGAAGACAGGCTGCCTAAGAGAGAAAGGGACAGCTGGCCTGGGAGACACTGTATAGCTGGGTTAGTCCTGTGTACTTGTCGAGGGGCAGATGCACAGGGTAGAGGCCTGAGCTGAACCTTGAAGCTGCTTGGGCCCCCCAAATCTGAGTACTTTAACATTTCTTCTCCTGCCTCTCTTTTCAGACCCTGTCCATGGCCTACCTCACTGGGATGTTGTCCAGGTAAAGGAGTCAGATGGTAGGAGAGGAGGGCCGGGCCTGAAGCCAGGGACTGGCCATACTTGAGGGGAGCTGTCCTCAAAACACATCCTTCCTGGAAGCACTCGGGTGGGGGAGGGAGCTCAGGCCTGGATCCCTCTTCTCAGGCACCCCCTGGCCAGTGGCTCCAGGACCTGACCAGTTTGGTGGGGCAGAGGTGGGGGACCGTGGGGAACAAGGGGGCTTCTCTCAAGCTGTGATATAAAAGACCTCAGACTCATGTTCCTGAATTTACCTGTAAATTACCTCCAGGAATCTACAGAAGCCCCTCTCATTCCTACTATCTCCTATTTAAGGTCTTTCTAACATGATGAGTCTCAGCACAAGGGCCCAGGGGAGAGGCTAGAAAGCTGAGAGAGGGAGGGTCCTGGGAAAGGGAACAGAATTGGGGCCAGAGGTCATAAGATCAGGTCCTGGTGGAAGAGGGTGGCCTTCCGGGAGGGCTGGGGGAGAGTAGAGCCCTCTCGGGAGCTGACCCAGGTCCTCGGTCCTCAGTTACTACAACACCACATCTGTGCTGCTGTGCCTGGGCATCACGGCGCTGGTCTGCCTCTCAGTCACCATCTTCAGTTTCCAGACCAAGGTCAGCAGGCAGGGGAAGGCACATGGGGCAGGGCTCCAAGCGGAGCCAGGCTGGGAGAGGTAAAGGGGTGAGTTGGGGCTGGGGAGACCTGGGGGAAGGAGGGCAATGCTGGTTTCTAGGGGTGAGTTCAAGACCTCAGACTTCACCCTCTGGTCAGCGCACGGCCTGAGTGGCGCTCTCTGTGCTGCCCAGCCACGGTGCTGACAGCCCTCCTCTTTGCAGTTTGACTTCACCTCCTGTCAGGGTGTTCTCTTCGTGCTGCTCATGACCCTCTTCTTCAGTGGACTCATCCTAGCCATCCTTCTACCCTTCCAATATGTGAGTCTCCAGGCCGCAGCCCTTGGGGAGGCCAGGGAGGGACCTCTGCTGGGGTGCTTTTCCCTCCTGGGATCCCTCCTGAGATTCCCTTCTGTGTCCCAGAGCCAAAGCCCCACAGCCTGCCATCCTGTCCAGCCCCTGCTGGCACCTGCCCAGGGCATGTTGGCAGTGTAAGCGAGCAAACAAGGAGGCTTTTCTTGACAGGCCCGGGCACCTACCCAGCCCCATGACCTGCATCCGGCTTCACCTTTTCCATCCTCCACTGTAGGGTGGAGGGGAGGGTGAGGGGAGAGTGTGGAACAGGGGAGGACTCACTGGGGCTCCTTGGGACCCACCAGGCCTTCTGGGAGATCAACCAAGTCCAAAGAGGCAGAATTTTCCTGGCCCAGCCAGTGATAGATAGGGCAGGGGTCCCAGAACGACCTCACCCCACACAGCATCCACTGGCTAGAGGTCAATTTTTAGCTCTTGTACGGATTTCCAGTCTGCCCTGGGCATTGCCAACTAGACCCCACAGATTGGAGGCATCAGAGAGGAGGCCTTGAATTTTGAATCCTAGAAACCCAAGAGAGGAGGCAGTTTGGGTGCTGATGGGGACTCATTGCTCAGACCCCAGCCACATTTGGTACCACATGGAAGTGGACAAAGACTTGAACTCAGGGTTCCTGGTCCCGCATTGCCCCTTGTCTGCCAGGGCTGGTGGGGTATTATTCCTCACTGCCCCCTTCCGACCTCCATCCTGCCTAGCCCCAGCCTCAGGCATTTGGCTCCCATTCCCCAACCTCAAGATCGATTCTGGCATTTCCTTGGCTCTTCTCAGGATCCTGTTGACAAAGGGAGGAGCCGGAGCTGGCCTGGGGGCCTTCTATGTATCTAGGATGGAGAGGGAGGTGACAGGAAGGGGCCCCAGAACTTCAAAGAACCTTTTATTGACCCAGGTCTGGCTGATGGGATGCCTTTGTTTCCAGGAATCTTCTGGAAATTTCCCCCAGTAGGCCCCACAGAGAGCAGAGGCTAATGTGGCACCTCCTGTGTGAATGATTTCCACACACAGACGGGTGTCCCTGAGACCTGGGAGAGAAGAGACTGGGACTGGGTGCTGTTCTGGCCTCTGCAAGCAATGTCATGCACAGCTGGCAGTCTCCAAAGTCCCCACACACACTGAGTTCAAGTCTCTGTCCCCTTCCACCTGAGTCCCTTACCCCCAAAGCAGAGCCAGGGAGCTCCCTGGCAGAGGGACATACAAACTCCATATTGGACAGAAATGACAGGAAGGAGCAGCCTCAAGCCAGACCCAGGCTTGGAGGATGACGGGGCCCCAGCAGGATGACTTGTTCTTGTCCAGCCTGAGCCTGGGGCTGTGTGTTGAGGGAAGAAGTACCAGGTTGATTGGGAGCTCCCTGCCAGCTCTTCCATGTTTATCTTAGGGTCCCCAACCCCACCCATCAGAGCACTCAGAAAATCAAGGCCCCCCTCAATCCTGGGGCTTCTTAGGGAGCACCAGGGAAGGCTACCCTACATCCTCCATTCTCTGGACTTAGCCCTCCTCCTGGCCCCTGTGCCTGCTGCTGCTCTGGCCATCCCTGAGCCATACTTCCTCTGCTCCACAGGTGCCCTGGCTGCATGCTGTCTATGCAGTGCTAGGAGCAGGCGTGTTTACGTTGGTGAGTTGGGCCCCGCTCCCTTGGGGCCACCTTTTCCACTTCGTGATTATCTCCCCAGACCCCTCTGCCACCCCGACTTTCTCCCAGAACTCTTTTGGAATGCCTGTGGGTGGGACTAGCTCAGTGCTGCATGCTGGGAATTCTATCTGGTGTCCAAGACAGACCAGCTGACAGGGGAGGGAGGCTGAAAGATGGTAACCCTAGGATGGAAGCCGTAGAGAGAGGCAGATCTGGGAGAAGTTGCTCCTCCCTCCTGGAGAGTGCCAGCATTGCTTGTGGAGGTGGGAGTGTGGACATGTCCTGCCGTGTTAGTGTTGTTCCCCTAGGGATAATCTGGGAGCTAGAAAGATTCCAAGTATCCTGTGAAAGGGACACTGTCTGAATGAGCTTATTCTTTACAGTTCTCACCAAACTGGGAGTGTTGAGGATGATGATGGTGGCTATGGTAATAATAATAGCTAGTGTTTACTGAGCACTTGCTTCCCCACAGCAAGCTTTCCATGTGTGCTAAATTCTTATCATAAGTCTATAATTTTACTGTTATTAAGATAAGGAAACCGAAGCCCAGAGATGTCAAAGAACATGCCCAAGGTTGTACAGCATCCTAGGACATGGTAGGGCCAATCTGGGAACCTAGACTGTCTGGCTCCAGAGTTCTGCTCAGGGTCAAAACTAGGTGGGGAGTACCTGGAAGCAGATGCTCAGGAAACAAAAGATGACCTGGGACAGACACCTGCCCAGAGCAGCGCAATGCAGACCTTTTGCATAGGTGGGCTTCAAGCTGAATGAATGTGATACTGCCCCAGGATCCAAACGGGCAAGCTCATGTGGGTGACATCTTCTTGGAAAGGCATCCAAGATAACATCCACTGCCAATGAAAGTGGACCAGACTCCCCTCTCCCTCACTGGCATATTCAGCTCAACACAAGGGCCAGAGTTCCCAGCTTAGTCACAGGCTCTCGGGGCTCATGGGTGACAGGATCTCCACCACAGCTGGAGGAAGCACTGCCTTCCACATCTGAATCCCTGGATGTTAAGGGGCTGTTACAGTCTCACTGCCAGTAAGGGAACATCTGGAACCGGATGTCCTGCATATACCCTAAAGGACACCTACCTGTGGACACCCTCGAAGAGGGCAAGCTTCTTTTGACTTGGGGTTGGGAAGAGAATGAGTCCTCTCCATCAATCCCCAACCCCTTCTCTCTCAACACAGGGAGAAGGATGTGGGTCAGAACTGTGAGCAGATGTTAGAGAGGTTAGATGAAGATGAAGCCAGGAATTGGGATGTGGAGGTTCATGCATTCATCCTTTCTGCAGGTCTTTATTGAGCATCTACCATGTGTGGGGTGCTGGGCTGCATGCCTGGACACTGGTCAACAGGAAGAGCACGGTGTGTGGCACATAGTAGCACTAGATGAATATTGTAGGATAAACCAATGACCTCCAGCCTTTAAATTTGATGGCTGGAAGAACTTGGAACTCCAAGCCCTCCTCTTCAGATGAGCAAACTAAATTTCAGTAATTAGTCCAAGGTTTTCTGGCAAGATAATGGTAAATCAATTAAGTGTGGCCTTGGTCAAGATTAGGCTGCCAGTTTTTCCCAGTCTACCTGGAATGTTCCTGGGCTCAGCACTTAAAGTCCCACTTCTTAAGAGAACCACCAAATCCTGAGCAAACTGGGATACCTGGTCATCCTAAAGACACCACTTCTCCTGACTCTTGGGCCAGTGCCCTGCACTCCAGGTCATACCTTCTAAAGAAAAGGATGGGGTGGGGAATTGGGCTGGAAGGAAAGGAGGAGGACTGCATTTGGGAGAGCAAGCCTGAGCAGTAGTGTCTGGGGCTTCAGAGGATAGCATTTGCCAGGGACAGAAGAAAGGTCAAGCCAGGGAAAGTGGGGTTGGTGGAATTGGAGGGAGGGTGAGTGTCCATGGAGGGTCAGGGCATTGCTTGCTTGAGGAGGTTCAGTCACAGTGAGTTCGGAGCTAGGCAGGGAAGCCTCCCTGCACACCCAGGTAGGACTGGGTGAATGGTAAGCCCTTAAATCTTCTTAATAATCCCTTGCGTTATTAGAATAATAAAAATAATCCCAGTAATCTGTTCTACTCCTTATGTTCTGCAAGACACTTTCACACCTATTAACTCATTGGATTGCCACCACGGTCCAGGGAGGGAGGAATCACTGATGTTATTGTAAGAATTGCCTTCCACATCAGAAGCCCTGTGGGTTATGGGGTTAGCACAGTCCCATGGCTGGTAAGGGACAAATCTGGGAGCAGGACCCAGATGTCCTGTGCCCAGCCTGGTAGTCATTCTCAAAGAGGACAGCTTCTATTGGCTTGGGCCTGGGGAGGAACTAGGAAGGGCTCTCCAGCTATTTTTCTTCTCTCTCATTGATACGGTGGTCAGTATTGCCCTCTCTACAGAATTGTTCCCATCAGCATGATGGGCTATAATTTCTCCCATCTGAAGAAAAAACTCACATAACACTCTTGGCTCACATCTCCCTAAAGATCCTGCCCCATTCTTCTCCCTGTATATAGCAAAACTCTTTAGAAGGAAATTACACTCACTACTCTGAATCCTCTCCTCCTTCTCTCCCTCCTCTCTTCTCAATTCATGCCCTTAACCCTATGTGTGTGTGTGTGTGTGTGTGTGTGTGTGTGTGTGTGTGTGTGTACACTCCAGACTAGGGATTGAATCCAGGACCTTATGCATGCTAAGTACGTGCTCTTCCACTGAGCTATGCTCTCAGCCCTTAACCCTCTTTTAAATGCTCTCATTCAGCAGGGCGCAGTGGCACATGCCTGCAATCCCAGTGGCTCAGGAGGCTGAGGCAGGAGGATTGTGAGTTCAAAGCCAGCCTCAGCAACTTAGTGAGGTCCTAAAGCAACTCAGCGAGACTCTGTCTCTAAATAAAATTATAAAAAGGAATGACTAGGGAATGACTCAGTGGTTAAGCACCCCTGGATTCAATCCCCAGTACAAAAAAAAAATGCTTTCATTCATATCACCAATGGCTTTCATGTTGCCAAATTTAGCTTTCAAGTTTCAGTGTTCCTATTGCCTGTCACTTAACACCATTTGATGCAGTCATTCATTCCCTTCCCTGGAAACATCATCTTTCCTTGGGAGTGTCCAGGCCAGGACCCTGCCCTGTTCCTTTTTTTTCCTCCACCCCACCCTGGTTCCCTGACTGTTCTCTCTTGCCTCCCTCTCTAGGAGTCTTAGGTAGCCCCAGTGCTTTAAATACCATCTTTTATGCTGATGATCTTTCTCTTGAATTCCAGATTAGAAAATCCAATTGCCTAGTTAGTGTCTCCATTTGAAATCTGACAGACATGTCTAACTCAGCATGTGCAAAACTGACCTACTGCTCTTTCCCTGGGTGCCTCCTTCTCCCACAGCCTTCCCCTTCTTCATGTTGCTCAGGACAGATGTCCTGGTGACAGCCTCAAGTGTTCACCTTTCCTTATACCTTGCATGGGCCCAGCCCCAAATCCCCTGGCTCTACTTTCTTTCCAAAACCTGACCATTTCTGTCCACCTTCATGGTTCTCCCTGATGCTAGTCACCATCATCTGCTTCTGAGCTTGTTGCAATGGCCTCCTGCAGGCTGCCCTGCTGGGCCCAGAGGCTGTGCACCAACACAGCAGTGAGCTAGACCAAGTCAGTCCTCTCCTTGACATCCCAAAGTTCTTCCTACAGGCCATCTCTGACCTCCCCCAGCCCACACTGCTACTGCCACCTTGCTGGCTGCCTGAGTATGACAGGCTCACCACGCCCAGCGCCCCTCCCCCCCCCACCTGTGGCTTCCCTGTCCCCTTGTGTCTTCTCAACATTTTTCCGTTAGCTTCTTTTACAACGCTGTGTGCCTGAGCGCTTCCSCGTCGCTCCCTCCCACCCCCAAATTTAATTCTCTGTTTAGCACATATTTTCTTCAGACACACTATATTATTTTCTGTCGTTCATTGTTTTTGGTTTTTGTTTTTCTCTTCTAGCACAAATTAGTTCCTTGAGAGCAGGGGTTTTGTCTGGTTTGTTTATTGCTGTAGCCCCAGCACCTAGCACAGTGCCTGACACACAGCAGGCACCCATAGATGTTTCTGGGCTGAATGGATGCCTGAGAGGTGTGGCCAGGGTAGGGCTGGGTCCATGAGGTGCTAAGATGGCACGAGTTGCACAGTTGAATTAGGCATGGCCTCAGCACTCGCTGGTGAATCATGGGGGAGGAGAAGGAACTGCGATGTCCAATTACCCGTTAATGTCTTATTAGATTAATACACCAGAGGAGCTTTGTTAGGATCATCCTACAGGTTGCATAAACCTGGCGGAGAGCACATGGGTGGATGCATCTGGTCAAAAGAGGGAAGACAGGGTCCCTGGGTCCCAGGAGGCAGGAGAAAGCTGAGGCGAGGAGCCTCCAGGCTCATTCTACTCTCCTCTTCTTAGTTTCAAGTAGACAGGGACCCTCAGAGTTCACTCCACAGAACTAACTAAAATCCCCAAGCCTTTGCATTAACCTCAACTCAGAAGCACTCACTGTGTGCTTGAAGCCTTGTGCTGATCCTGCTTCCAGCATCACTGTATCCTGTGGGATCTGTGGTCTTCTGGCTCCAACCCAGTGCCTGGTGTCCACCTGCCTTTACTATCATCCCCAAACTTAGCCTTTAGGGGGTGGATCTTCAGCACAATGGAGGGTTCTCTTAGCCCTGCAGCTAGATGAGAATTGCAGAAAGAGCTCAGTGTATCCTTGCCCTGTTTGCTGCCTCATCAAGGATATGCAAGAAAAGGATGAAGAGAAGTGTCCTAGGAGGCTGCAGATCCCCAGTGGGATGTTTCTTCCTGCTTCCCACCAGCCTGGACTTTAAAGGGGCTGGGAGAATCCAGTGATTTTTCTCTCCTAGAAACCTCAGTCTTTGCCTTGAGACATTCTGCCATTTTTGAGGGCAGGGTCAATCAGCTGAATTGTGTTGCAATTCAGGGGGTGGAGAGTCGAG